AAGCTGCTGCCCCATTGAAGTCCATGCCAACCGCTCTGTCCACCCCTCCATCCTCCAGCACCCCGGTCGCCATTGCAAGTTCACCCTATCACCATGCCGCAGTCATGGTCTTGCGCTCCAACCCAAGGAACTTTATCCTTCTGGGGACTTTGCCAAGGTCTGACTTACTCAGAGGCGATAGGGGAGTCTTCCATAAGTCAGCCTCACCCCCACCCCAGCCAGCCTCTCCCACCCAGGTGCACCCCCTGCACTGTCACCATCGAGAGACTGCTCCTCTCTGTCAACCCCGACTCCAGCCCCCTGCCCCCAGGCAGACACCCCCTCCATTCCCACCCCTCCAATGAGTTATGTCCCATGACCACCTCCCACGCAAAGTGACTGAAGAATGCACATGGGTCTCCTTAAACAATTTATTGATTTTTTCAATGCTGTGTCCCAAGTCACAAGACACGTCCAGGCTGCCCGGGCTTTGAGCAGGCCTGGGGACCCAGGTGGGTCATGTTGGGAAGTTACTCCTGGTGCGTGAGCACCTGGCAGATGGTCGTATTCCAGAAGAAGGCACGAAGCTGCAAATTATTGTGGATGGCCATGTCCAATGACTCCGGAGTAATTCGGCTCTGACCGCGGTTCCGGGCCTCCCTGCCTGCCAGCTCCAGGACCTTGGCGGTGATATATTCGATGATAGCCATGAGGAAGATCGGAGCGGAAGAGCTGAGGTGCTGGGTGTAGTGGCCGTCCCTCAGGAGGGACTCCATGTCCCTCGCAGTAAAGGACAGGCCATAGATGCTGGTGCGGGAGCGGCTCCGCCTCTGGCGATGACCCGATGACCCAACCCGGTGTCTTTGCCCCCGCATGCTGGGCGTTGGGTGCGCTTTCTCCGACCGGCCTAGCTCTGCAGTGCTGCGCGGTGCGGTTCAGTGCGGTTCGGTGCGATTTAGTGGGTGAGGGAAGGTGGGAAGCGGTAGGGTGAAGCGAGATGAAGGAAGGTACAATGCGCCAGCTGGTCCCAACTTGTGCAGATAGAGGTTCGTCAGGTCCCTATTCCGTAGCCTAGCGACCGCGGACCGGCCGCTCATTGGCTGGACGCCTTCTGTCTCGAGTGTTCATTGTGTGAGGTCCCTGCTTTCCCATTGGCCCCCAGCGGGCCTGGGACTACAAAAAAAAATGGCGCCTGAAGCAGCCTGCTCACCCTGCTCACTGGAACCTCTCTTTGAGGGAACTCTCACTTTCCACTGGACCTGAACGTTGTAGGGAAAAACAAATGTGTCCGATCCAGTGGCACTGAGTATATATATATATACTCGTGGTGTTGGACGGTCATCACAACTCTCTAGTTCCAAACCCTTGGCACCACTGCAAAAAGAAACCCCTGTACCCATTGGGCAGTCACTGATTCCTTCTGTAACCCCCACATCCCCTCCCCTGCCCCACCCCTCGGCCCCAGGCAACCACTAGCCTGCTTCCTGTCCATAGAGGTTTGCCTATTGGGGAGGCTTCTTAGAGATGGAATCCTACAACAAATAGGTGACCTTTTGTGCTTGGCTGCTTTCACTTAGCATAATGTTTTCGTTAGGGTTCATCCATGTGGTAGCATGAATCAGCACTTCATTCCTTTTCATGGCTGATTAATAATCCATTGTATGAATAGAGCACATGTTGTGCATCCACTTGTTCATCAGTTGATGGACGTTTAGGTACTTTCCACATTTTGGCTATTGTGAATAGTGCTGCAGTGAAAATTCTGGTACAGGGTTCCGTTTGAACACCTGTTTGCAGCTCTTTGGGATATACATCATGATTAGATTTATGCATTTATTTCTGGACTCTTAATTTTATTGATCTGTCTATTCTTATGTTAGCACACATAGTTTTGATAACTGCAGCTTTATATTAGGTTTTGAAATAAGAAAGTATGAATCCTCTAAATTTTTACTTTTTCAAGATTATTTTCGCTATTCAAGGTCCCTTGACATTCTGTATGAACTTATTATTGTTTTTGGTTTTGTTTTGTTTTTAAGATTTTATTGGGGAATTGGGGAAGGGGAACAGACATGTTGCTGTCCTTTTGTTCTTCAGTCTAGTTGTGGAGGACGTCACTTCACTGGCCCATGTTGGTATTATCATTATGGTCTTCCCAGGTGAGGCAGTCGCTTGCCAGGCATTGGACGGCTGCTTATGGTGGCTCTCGGTGGCTCACGAAAGCTCACTCCAACGGCCACCCAGCCCCACTGCAACCTACGCCTTCGCCGGCGACTCACGGCAGCCCAGCTCCAGGTCGAGCTGTTGTTCACCATCTTAGCTGTAGAGGGCTCAGTGTCACTGGCCCTCATGTGGGGTCCGAACTGGGGCCCTGCTGCTCAGAGCTGGCATCCCAAGCCAACTGTTAACCAATGGGCCACTAAGCCGACCCTAGGATTGGTTTTTACAGTTCTATAAAAGAGATCATTGGGATTTTGATAGAAATTGCATTGAACCTGTAGATAACTTTGGTTAGTATTGCCACCTTCACAATGTTAAGACTTTTATTCTATGAATGCTGATATTGTTTTATTTTTTAGGTCATCTTTACTTTCTTTCAGCAATGCTTTATAGTTTTCAGTGCACAAGTCTAGTGCCTCTTTACCTAATTTATTCCTATGCATTTTTCTTTAGATGCTATTTTAAGTAGAATTTTAATTTTATTTTGGAATTTTCATTGCTAGTATATAGAAACATCTGATTTTTGTGTGTTGATCTTGTATCCTGAAACTTTTTGAATTCGTTTGTTAACTCTAATAGTGTTTTGTGGGTTCTTTTGGGATTTCTAACATATAATGTGTATCTGAGACTAGAGATAGTTTTACTTCTTTCTTTCTAATTTGAATGTATTTCATTTCTTTTGCTTGCCTCATTGTTCTGGGTAGGACTTCCATTAATATCTTGAATAAAAGTTGTGAAAGCAAGCATTCTTATCTTGTTTCTGATGTTGGGGGAGAAGTTTTCAGTCTTCCCTCATTGAGTATGACATTAGCCATGGTTATTTTGTAAATGCCCTTTATTATGTTGAGGAATTTTCTTTCTATTCCTAGTTTTCTGAGTGTTGTTTTTTTTTAATCAAGAAAGGTTGTTGGATTTTGTTGAATGTTTTTTTCCACATCAACTGAGATGATCATATGGGTTTTTTCTTCTTTGTTTTATTAATGTGGTGTTGACTCAAATTCCTTGTGATGAACCATCCTTGCATTCCTTGGATAATTCCAACGGGGACATGGAATGTAATATTTATAATATAATGCTGCATTCAGTTTGCTAAAATTCTTGTGAGGATTTATGCATCCATATTGATAAAGGATAATTTTTTTCCTTGTAGTATATATGTTTGGATTTGGTATGACAGTGATGCTGGACTTGTAGTATGAGTTAGGAAGCTTTCCCTCTTTTTCTAGATTTGGAAAAATTTGAGAAGGATTGGAATTAATCTTTTTTTAAACATTTAGTAGAATTCATCAGTGAAGCCACCTAGCACAGTTCCTGGCACATAATACATGGAATCTAAAATTTGTGTAGTCATTAACTATTTGTTGAGTTAACACATTGTCTCCCTAAGAAGGTTTCTAATCAAGATAGAAGGATTGAGTAAAAAATGAGGTAGATATATTTATCAAAAATAGTGCTGTGATTTCTGGGACAATGCTATAAACTTATTAATATTTTATTCCAGAGGAAGAAACACCTGTTATGTGGTAGAACAAAAAGTTTTAATTCCCCATAATACTATCACTCTGATGTGTGGTTATGTAACAGACTTACATTGATACCTGTTTTAGTTTATTCAAACAGATACAGAATGCCAGGTATTTCATGTGATGATTTTCAACTTTCCTTAAAGTATATGCCACGTTTTAATTCTAGGCCTTTTAAACTGGCATTACTACCACGTTTCTCAAACTGTGTTCCTTTTCCCTTAAATACGTCATGTACTTTTCTCTATAATCTAGACATGTCAGTGTCCTAAACCCCACATGTTGGATATTAACATGTTTCTCATGAATTCATACACAAGGAACAATTAATTAATGCCCCCGCAGTTCACACACACACACACACACACACACACACACACACACAGCCCACGTTCTTGGACAATCATTCTGAGACCAATGGGGTAAGCTGCCAAATAACAGTCTTCATTCACAGCCGACTCTGCCCTAAACTAGTACTTCTCAAACTTCATGTTCTGATTTAGTAGATCTGGAATAGGGCCCAAGACACTACATTGCTAATTGCTACCAGGTGATGCTGTGCTTCTGGTATGTGGCCCACACTGGATTACCAAAGCCCTAAATGGCTTCCTCAACATTTATGAACCTTTTACAGGGCCCCAAAATAGACTACTTCACCTGCTCAAACCTAATCTCGCTTGTTCCATTCCTCTTCCTGGTATTTTTTCACCTTCATGTACTCTATCCTAACATCTGTCTAGCCAGAATGGTTTTGAGTTTTGGATGCTTTTGAGCAATGCACAAAGCAAAATTAGAAGGAAGATAAGATTGGGAGGAATTGATTTTTGCTCTACCTTCACTTTCCATTTATCTATGCTAATCCCTCCCTACAGGTCTTCTTTGGCAATGTGGATTCATCTGGGATAAAACACAATACTTTTAACCCTCCAATTATCGCTCGGTACATCCGTTTGCACCCAACACACTACAGCATCCGCAGCACTCTTCGCATGGAGTTGATGGGCTGTGATTTAAACAGTAAGTGCCAAGTAATTATTTATCCTTTCCTCTCCCAACCATGAGTAGGATAATTAACTGTCCTAGTTTTCCCAAGACTGGGGAGATTTCTCAGGATACAGAACTATTAATACCAAAACCAGCACAATCCTGGACAATACCAGGACTTGGTCATTCTAAACATGGGATTCCTCAGGGCCAGCCACCTCCTATACTACTATTAATGAGGCAAATCAAAGTCAAACAAAGCTGACCACAAAACAGGGGGCAGGCTAACAATAACAGGATCTGTGCAAAAGTTAATGCCTGGGAAATGACATCATGATGACAGTAACCCTGGAGCGTCAGTGGAGGCAGGCTAGTAGAACCAAGGATGCATCTTGTTCTCGTGATTACATTCTCTTTTCATTTCTTTGAGGTTGCAGCATTCCATTGGGAATGGAGAATAAAACAATATCAGATGCACAGATTACTGCCTCATCTTACTTGAACAACATGTTTGCTACTTGGTCTCCTTCCCAAGCCCGACTTCACCTCCAGGGGAGGACTAATGCCTGGAGGCCACAGGTAAGAGGCAACAACTTTGCCATTTAACTGATGTGGGGGGGGGATAGTGTTTGGAAAAGAATAAGGAAAGCCCTTGACTGTTTCTTCAGAGGTATTTGTCACCTGGTTGTTCCCAAAATGTGTCAAGGAAGGTTGACTATGAGCAGAAAACCCCACAGATGTTTAGTAGTGCCATGTGATTTCACACAGAATATATTGGGGAAAATGATCCCTAATTAAACCTCCTGGAAAAAGAATGTCTATATGCAGTACTGGGTTAACACCTGTCAAAGAATTGTAGTAGCTGAAGTCCAGTTTTACAGAGAGAAACATTAACAATTAGCTATCTTTACAAGTTATTCAGTGCCTCAAAGGAAAGGGTCACAGTCATATAAAGTTCATTAGGCACCATTCTTTTCCAGAATCACTCAGTATGTGATTCTCAATCACTGAACAGCATTTGGGGATGAGTGGGGTGAATGGTCTCTGTTGTTCCAGGGGCTTATTTTAAACAAACCAGGTTGTATAACATATTGTAAAACTTTTCATACTCTAGTCAGTCTATATATGGCTTATATATTCATTCAGCAAACATTTACTGAACACCTATTAAATAGCTGACCCTGGGAATACTGAGATGAAACATGAAAAATGTCAGCCCTCAAGTTGCTTAGTGACTAAAAAGGAAGACTGACTGATGATTAAAATACAGAGTATAAGTGCTGTCACATGGTTAATAAGAAGGGGTTTGGGGGGTTCTGGGAGCAAACAATGACCAACAGGTTACTAGTCTAATTAACTTCCTCAGGCAAATAATCCAGAAGAGTGGCTGCAAGTGGACTTCCAGAAGACAATGAAAGTTACAGGAATAGCTACCCAGGGGGTGAAATCTCTCCTTACCAGCATGTATGTGAAGGAGTTCCTCATCTCCAGTAGTCAAGATGGCCATAACTGGACTCTATTTCTTCAGAATGGCAAAGTAAAGGTATGTTGGTCTCATAGGAAAGGCACAAAACCTCTCCTAGCTTGACATTTAGAGACATAACAAGGTCTATATATGACCAAACTTCAAGGATAAACTTTACTGAGTATCTACAGTAAAATGACATTATGAAAGGCATTCTGAGAGGACACAGTGACTCCAAGCAAGGACATACAATCCGCAGGAAAGGGCAGAGTAGAGCCAAAAGTTGATTATCCTCACAAATGTTGATGTCACCCAGGATTATGGCAAGAATCAGAGGGGTGAAGAATGATGATAGTTATTTGCCAGATGCTTAATGATGTCTGTATCTTCATCAGCAACTTAGATTTCCAAACCTCATGGACCTTTAACTTTATTGACCCAGGTAGTCTTTCTTCTTGATGTTGATTTGCTAGATAAGTCAACAAATTATGCTAATTAGAGGACATGACATAAAGTCTTTCCATCTCATGAGTTATGAAAGAATGAATAGTTCATCTCTATCATCTCTTTTATCTTCTTTTTCACCAAGAATGATGTGGCCCATACCAATCTCTCTAGTACAGTCTTTTGCCAATTCCCCCTGTGCGCTCTAAGTACCACCCATACTAAGAAACTCTCAGGTCCCTAAAACAGCATGTTCTTTCTCACAACAGGCTTTTATACATACTGTTTCTTCTACCTAGAACATTTTTTTCTAAGTACTTCCCATTGCCCCTTTCACCTGGATCATGCTTCAAAAGTCTCAGATAAATATGATCTCCTCCAAGAATTCCCTGGTCCCTCAAAGCTGAATTAAAGAGTTCTGCTTTGGGCAATTTAGTGGACTAGAGTATAGATAACATATATTCTGGAGGACATTCCCATTTTCAAAAGGGTATATCTCTGATACATGCTACAATATGGATGAACGTTGAAAACTTTATGCTAAATTAAATAGGCCAGATATAAAAGGACAAATATTGTATGATTCCACTTGTATGAATGTATTTGTCAGGGTTCTCCAGAAAAACATAACCAATAGAATGTGTATGTGTCTGTGTTGATGTATAAAGAGATTTATTATAAGGTTGGCTCACATGATTATGAAGGTTGACGAGTCCCAAGATCTGCAGGATGAATCAGCAAGCTAGAGACCCAGGAGACCCAATGGTTTAGTTCCAGTCCAAGTCTAAAGGCCTGAGAACCAGTAGTTATAGTGGTATAAGTTCCAGGCTGAAAGCAAACAGGCTTAAAACCCAGGAAGAGCCAATATTTCAATTTAAGCCTAAAGGCTGAAAAACGCCAATGTCCTGGTTCAAAGGCAGTCAGGCAGAAAGAACCCTCTCTTTCTCAAAGAAAGGTCAGCCTTTTTGTTCTATTCAAGCCTTCAATTAATTGGATAACATTTGCCCACATTAGGAAGGGCAATCTGCTCTACTCACGCTACCATTTAAATGTTAATCTCATTCAAAACATCCTCACAGATACATACAGAATAATGTTTGACCAAATATTTGGTACCCCATGGCCTAGTCAAGTTGACACATAAAATTAACAATTACAAGAAGGTATCCAGAATAGATAAATTCATCAAGACTCAAAGTAGAATAGAGGTTACTAAAGGCTGTGAGGAGGGGAGAATGGAGAGTTATTGTTTAATGGGGATAGAGTTTCAGTTTTACAAGGTAAAGAGTTCTGGAAACAGATGGTGGTTATGGTTACACATAATTATAAATGTATTTTTAAAAGATTTTTATTGGGGAATTGGGGGATGGGAAGAGTGCTGGGGAATTCAAAGAAGGGGAACAGATAAGTTGCTGTCCTTTTGTTCTTCAGTCTAGTTGTGGAGGACGTTGCTTCACTGGCCCAAGTTGGCACCATCATCGCGCTCTTCCCGGGCGAGGCAGATCAGTCACCGGCTTCTGGACGGCCGCTCACACTGGCTGCTGGCTACACACGGTAGCCCATGGCAAACCACTGCAGCAGGGGCTGCAGCCTATGCCATCGCCGGCGACTCATGGCAGCCCAGCTCCAGGTTGAGCTGTTGTTCAACATCTTAGCTGTAGAGGGCAGCGTCCCTGGTCCTCATATGTGGGATCCGAACCAGGGCCCTCTGGTGTCCCAAGCTAGCTCTTAACCAGCGCGCCACTTCGCCGGCCCTATAAATGTATTTAATGCCACTGAACTGTACACTTAAAAATGGTTAAAATGGTAAATTATGTTATGTATATTACCACAACAAAGAAAGCTATATCACTGATAGTACATACTTCTTAATGCATTGCTACATTCAGTAAAGAAAGGAGGAATTTCCAGCCTCCTCACCCACAACAGCAAAAAAAAAAAAGAGCTTTTATTTTAAAATAATGAGCTTAAATGAGAGCAAATAGAGGTGAAAATGAGACAATGTAAAATAGAGGACCTTTCCTTGTGGAAAATGCATATGTCAGTATTGTTATTGGGAGACAAAGCTTTGAGCGAAATGCGAGGTAAACTGAATGTGGGACTTTTGTATTAAATAAGTACTAAACCGCAGAAGGACCTAAAATGGTTGCAGATAAGTAGCACCTCCTGACATATAGAAGAAATATTCTCAAGTCCACTCTAGAAGAAAGCATTTTCAGTTTAGGTCTCCAGAATTCCCAGGTATTAACATGATAAGATCATAAACATAGATCAGCAATCACGAAACACAACAAGACAACTTGTCTATGAGTGAGCAGAAACAAGCAATACAGATTTAGAATCTGAAGAACGTCAGATATTGACATTATCAAATATATATCATGAAATGATTATGCATAAATATTTAAAGCAATAAACTATAGAAACATAAAAATAAATGACAAATTATTCAAAATTACTAGGCAGTATTTTGGGGGAAATAGTACTTTTAGAAATAAAAAACATACACCTGAAACTAACAATAAAAAAAAATGAAATAAAACACATAATTGTTGGAGTTTAAAAATCAAAGAAATACTTAATAGCAGATTAGGCATAGCCAAAGAGAATTTAGTGAATTGGAAAATATATCTGAGGAAATTACCCAGAATAGCACAGAAGATAAAACATATGAAAAAGAAATTAAGATAAATAGGGTATACAGAGAAAGCTTAACATACATGTAATTGGAATCTCAGAATGAAAGGAAAGAAATTGTTAAGAAGAGGCAAACAAACAAGGATGACCACTTTTGCCACTTCTATTCAACACTGTACCAGAAGTTATAGCAAGAGAAATTAAGCAAGAAAAAGAAATAAAAGGCATCCAAATTGGGAATAAAAAAGTAAAACTATCTCTCATTTTATGTGTGGAAAATCCTAAGGAATACACACACACACACACACACACACACACACACACACACACACACACAATAAATGAATTCAGCAAAGTTGCAGGATATATGATCAACACACAAAAATTAGTTGTATTTCTATATACTAGCAATGAAAAATCTGAAAAGGAAA